AAAGTGGCCTCAGCTGAGGTTGTACTCAGGCAGTGTACGGGGAAAGGATGCCTGCACTTGCATCTACAGCTAAGCAAAGTAGTTCTGTGGCAGAAGAAATATTCTTGAGTAGGTGCATTGAAGACTTCATGAAACAGAAGCTAGAAAATCTAGGTAGGGGACTATTATTTAGAATAAAGTTCCTACGTATCAGGACACATTTTCAAAAGGGTCTGTGTCCTGGATTCTAAATCTATGGATGCAATTTTTTACATCTAAGTTTTGGCCACCTGTGGCTCTAATGCGAGTTGCTGTTTTGCAGTCTCTGTGGGAACATTTGTCCCTTGATCCACTGTATAATATTGGAAAGCCATAGATGAGTTGATCCAGCATTTTTTGTGCAGAATTTACCGCAGTAGTTTATGGACCTGTTTCACATTTGCATTATTTCCATTTTATGCCTATGTAACTCCTTTGCTTTGAGTGGAATGACACCACACACAGAGTGGTGTATCAGCACTGAGGCTGCATGTTCAAGGAAAGCAGAACTTGGCCCAGGAAGCATAAATATTTTATTAAACCAACGGGCAATATTGTTCTCTCTATTCAAAGCAGTAGTCAAATATAAGGAAAGCAGAAGCTTGCAGAAAAGTTTTCCTTTTATTTATGTTTGATGTGAATCCACACTATAGAACAAAAATTTAAAAGATATTTCGTTTGCTATAAATGACCTATCGATATAAGGAGTCCATGTTTCTTTTTTATTCAATTATCCTGTTTAAAAAAGAAGGAACTTTATATTTTGCATCCATGAAAGGTTGATTTTGCTATTTAGTAAAACAAAAGTTTCCATTTCAAGGACATTTTAAAGCAAAGTTAAATATAAGAAGAAAAAACTCCTTATTAAACTAAATTGCGGTGTAACAGCTTACCACATCCTGCTGCAGTGGCATCTGATGTTTAGCAAAGGAAAGGTTTCTCTTTCAGGCTTCTGACAGGTACAGGGGTCACATGTTACCTGCATTTCTCAGCACTATTATTTTTTGACTTGTTGTCAATGGAAAAGCTGAACATGAAGATGGAAAATATCTGTTCAGAGAGGGCATTGTGGGAAACTGTAGGTGTTAGCTACCAAAGCAACAATGCCACTGAACAAATCTGATGACAAATGCGCTGTAAATCATCATACTCAGCTCTTTGAACTGACAGGAAGGAATCTATTGTTCTACTGGAACGATTGTTCTAGACTACGCATTGAAAGTGAAGAGTGTTTAGTTCTATTTCAGATCTGCCGCTGTGGCCAAGTCTACACTGCAGACTTCTGCCTACCTAGTTATGCCTACCTAGGGTATGGTCAAGGGTGTGCAGAGGTGTGATCCTTAACTGACAAAGCTCTGGCACAAGTCCCTAGTGCTGACACAGTCAAATCAACAAATCAACTTTGACAGCGTAGCCTGTTTCACTCATGGGGTGGGGTACAAAGCAACAAAGGAGGGACATTTGCCCAGTATAGTAAACCTGTATTTCTACCCCAGCAAAGCTCCCATTGTAGACATTAGCCTGAATTACCATATGACTTCTGGCAATGCACATAAGAGGGGTGTGATTTCTAAACTACACCAACATGCTGTGTGCTAGTTTGCCCATATAGACTCTACTGACACAAACTAAAATGCTCTAGTATGCATTAATATAAATGGTACTGCAGTATTGTACACTATCAAACTTTTAGTTCATGTTAGCAGGTCTATATGAGCCAGTTAGTGCACAACAAGGTACACATTAGAAATCACACCCCTCTCATGTACACTGCTCTTCTTTGAAGACAAGCCCTTAGATAATTCTGCCTTCCTCAGTTTCCCCATGTTTTAATGGGCATAATACTACATATTGCAATAGAGTTCTGTGATTGCTATTTTAATAGCTGTGTGTAAAACCATTGGTTAACATGCATTATGTGAGTGCAAAATACTGCTACTGTTGGGATGCTTTGACAAGTGAACAGTCATGTGCCCTGTGTCATTTGAATCCGAAGACCAAGTTGCCTTTAGAAATAAAACTCAAACAGAAGCCAAAATATTCATTTTGCCACTGACTGCTGTTCCATACACAGCATGCCACCTTGTTGCAATAACAGATTTGCAATCCACAACTTGCCCAGACATGAGAGCAATAGGCGACTCTCACTGAACACTGGTTGAGTGTTTTTGCTTGATCAGAGGTATCTTAGAGGGAGCAGGAGCCATTCCATTACCATCTGCATAGCAGGGAAGCATTTCCCTTGCTGCGTGGAGCTTGGCCATAGACATGTGGTATTGACAGGGGAACAGGGTTCTTAATGAAAGTGCTAGATGCATGTGGGTGGAGCAAGTGCCCAGATTCATTAGTCAATTGCAGAAAACCTCAGATACAAGAGCATTCACTTTGGTTCTAGACCACATATACATGCTGAATGATTTCTGTTTCCTCCCACCCACTAAAGGGCATTCCCTTTCAGGCTCAGGTGCATTAGTGGGCAGCAAGGGAAAGCCCACTCTTAGCATATTTCTGCTGTTCCTTCTGCTTTTATCTTTTCAGACAGATGTTATTTTCCACTTGTCTCTCTATTGCTAGACTTGTAGTCTTTCAATTCTCATTGCTATGCAAGAGAGGCATTCTTCTGCATCAAGCCATCCTCTTATGTCCTTTATTCCGCCATGTAAACCTCATTCCAATACACACTTTAAAGGATTTATTCTTTTCGTTTATTGGCAGGCTTTTTTAATGAAACGAAGTAAAGAATCACACAGAAAAAGACTTGTGGACTCTGAATTTGCTATAAGTTACAGCAGACCAGAGCGCTATGGAACCATGCTGCCAGCTATTCTTCTGGTTCCTTATCCCCTCTTAGTTCCCTCATTTTGGCCATCTTATGGCTTTCGAACAGCAACGGCTGCATTGTAGGCAAGATTCAGCTGTCTCTTGAGTAGCTGTTGGCGCGGAGTGGCTGCTTTTAAACAGATGTGTTGCTGTAGAAGAAAATTGTACTTGACTGTCACACCTAAAAAAAATAGTAGGTCACCTATGGTAAGAGAATCATATTTTAGGTGAGCATGAACTTCAGAACTCAGTCCCTCATCCCGCTGGTCCCCAGTGACTTCAAGAGTGCCCAACTTTGGCCCTGAAACTACTGGGTTTCATTATTTTGAATGAGAAAAACATGGGTGAATGGCAGTTGTGATCTAGTAGACTAAGCATGGGGCCATATGATTTGTTGTGTACAAGTATTGCCAGAGATGCTTTTTAAGGTATCTTCCTTGACCAGAGTGTCATGGAAAACCTTTCCCGCTGCATATGTGTTTGTGTTCAGGGGACAGGTGCAGTTCGTAAAGCTGTTCTGAGCCTTGTAAATTGGTCTGTGGCATTATTACTGTAGTAGGTTACATGCTGCGTACCTCCTTGTCACAGTACTTCCTGGTCACAGTGCAGGGGTTGGTTGCCTAAATTGGTTCCCTTTGATTATTAATATGAATGATACACTCCATGGCATGATCAAGGAGAGTTCTTATGTCTTTACAAGTAATTTCTACAATGTTCTTATAGTCTTTTTTTAAATGAATAGATAATCACCAATACCACTGCTATTTCGATGCGGAAGAAGGACCTGCTCATACATTGATATCAGTCAATCCACTGACCACCTTCTGGGACACAAATCCTGACTGTGTCACGTACTGTTGTTATAAAATGTGCAATAGGTCTCATGAAAAAACATGTTGAACAACTAATTGCTTCAGGAAGTTGATTTTAGCCAGGCCTAGCTCTAGCCAACAAACATATGGAGTTATCTGGACAGCAGCAAACTGCAGCCCAGGAGCAAAGGGAAACTTGGGCTTTTCCATGGTCATTCCATGACGTGGGCATGTGTTTCCCTCTCCCTGTGATGTTAGGAAACTCAGCAGTGATGACAGCCTTAGTGATGGCATTTGGTCTATCTTCATGTAAATCAGGTGGTGGCAATGGCTGCAGGGAGGTGGAGTGGAAATAGAAGGGATGTTGTGCAGTTCACTGTAGATGGCCTTTGCCAGGTTCAGTCATTTCCTGTCTGCCTGCCAAAAATCACAAGCTGATAAATGGACATAGGTTGAGTGTGGGAAACTATATGGGTTGGTGATCTTTGCAGGGGAGGAAGGAGAATGAAAGAAGAGTCACAAGTAAAGAAAACAATACTTGTTATCAGTGGAGATGCAGTCTGACTGACTGATGCTGAGATAATCTGTCTTGCTTGTTCTTTTCTTCAACTTCTGGTCAGGGGTTTACCTTGCTCTTCCCCAGCTCCTAGTCTTTACTGGTTTTTAAAAAGTTTACTTGTGCATGGGTGTGGATCATCATGAAAGGAGAGTATTTTTATTCACATTTCAGATACCAGAATGGGCACACACACACACGTTCCTTTTTATTATTATTAATATTATTTATTAATGATAACACACACACACACACACACGTACATTCCTTTTTTATTATTATTTATTAATGATACCACACAGTGCAAAAGTCCTGTTCTGCATTGTGGCTTCAAAGGCTCAGTTCAGCACTTGGCTGTTTTGTGCTTTGTGCATGCCACTTTTGGAGAAAGAAAGCTAACAAGTCGTCCTATCAGCTATTTGTATGAAGAAGAGAATGTGTTTTCAGACTTCCCAGGATTTGTTACTTTGAGCTTCAGAGCTTGTTCAAAGCAAGTGATATGTTTTTATTTATAACTAATTAAAATGTGACATATGCTTAATGCAATAAAAGATGCTGCTGTTCTTGTGTGGTGTATTTAGCATGTCAATAACCACAATTAAACCTGCTCTTTTGCACTTAAGTCAGCCTGTATCAGTTACTTACTAATGTTACACTTAGTGTTCAAAATAATTGCAAAACCATGAAGAAACTGATACAAGCTTCACTGAACATATTTTACAGCACAAGAAATAGTAATTGTACAGCAGTTTCATTCTAATCATTCTTTTTTTTCTTGTGTTCTTTCTTTACAGTAAATGAAATTATAAGGAATGACCTCTCCAGCACCAATGTCCATTCATAGCTTGCAATACTGGACTAGTTTGAATCCATACACTTTTAGCTCAGCTGGTATATCAGCTTCAGCACAGAGCTGTCATAACTGAATAAACTGAAGACATTACCTGGTACCATTCTGGTCTTCCGCCTTACTGAATGTTAGTAACCGAAGATTTACCTCTTGCCTACAAAGAAGTATCTCTTCAACCAATGAAATATCTTCTTTAAGGAAAATCATCTCAAGAGGAGAAGAAAAGGGGAGGGAATAACCTCGAAGATGGCACGTTTCATGGGATAAAACTGGGAAACTCAACAAAAGCTGATTGCTTGTCCCCAGCACTGAGCCTTTTGGCACCACTGGAATTCAACTCTGGAAGTGCCTTATTTTACTAGCTTGTGGCATCAGGACATTTTTAATAGGCTTTGAATTTTCTACCATAAAAAGTATTTGTAGGTGCCGAAGCTATAATGCTTGCATTCTGGCAACTGATATTTTAAAAATCATAAGACAGCCTCTTGGAAAGGGAATGACATCCCTACTTAAAGTCAAACACATTTATGAATTCCAGAATTTCTTCAGTTTTTCCTCTGCTGTAATATACAGCCTGTTGCCTTATTCTCAGTGCATTTCAAAAGCCTCCCAATTTGTCATCTCAGCTCTTTCTCTTTTTTTCATATACTGTCCTTATTATCTGCTAATGAATCATAGGATTGTTAGTCATAGCATGTTAAGATTTTGATTTTAATCTGGCTTCTGTCATAGCACAAGTATGTTGAATAGCACAAAATAATAAGGTTGATGGACAAAAAATTGAAATCTATCTATTAAACGATAGATGTATGTGTATGCATGTACATACATACTAGCATATATGCATATATTTATATATGACAAGTAACATAGATGATTGCCAGGTGAGGGCACTGACTTCAGCAATAATTTCCATTTCTGCAAATGCATTTCAGATTGCAAACAATGTTTCTGCTATTTCTGTTGGTTTGTTACTTCTAAGACAGGTATGCATTTTCTTTCCTCATGCAGTTAAGCAAGCACTTTAGACAGTCAAGAAGGATGCATACAAAATACATTTTATTTACCAAATGGCAAAATCTGAATTAAAGAAATTGTAAATACCAT